GGCACTAATGTAGAATTTAAAAGCTTTTTATAGCTTTGAATAATCCATCTGGACATTTTTTAAAATCAAATATAAATTTGCCAGAATATAACGAGATTTTAATGATTCATTGACATTGAGTTATAAGTATCTTATAATTTTAACTTCAGTAAACTATTCAAAATAGCTAAATTTTTTGAATTGTTATTAACTTTTGTGGCCTGGGTGAATTAATGGACCGATTTCAACTATATATTTTTAATAGCCTTGTCCTTGTGACAAAATATAAACTTGATTCAATTTTTTTTTCCAATTATCTTAAAAGGAGTAGAAGAGTAGAAAAGTCGGGCAAGGCCGACCATATTATACCCTACACCCAGTTATGAGTATATTTTAAAATTATTTCTTATAAAAAACATTTATGTTGAATTTTACCTTATTCCGATATATTTAAGAAAATTATGTTTATTTAAGAATGTTTTCTAAATAAAATTGGTACAATAAGACTAACTGTTTCTCAAAATTGGCCCTAATCACAATAATTTCGAACAAAAATGATGAAAAAAGAACTATTTTGAAATAAAGCGTATACGTTCTGTAAAGCATTCCTAGAACTAGTTTCGAGCTTGCAAATCTAGAACCGTTCCATAGAACGAGTGTCATCTCAGAAACGTTTCCTGAGAACCAGTTCCGAAGGTGGCCAAAATAGAGCGAATACAGGCCTAAAAATCGTTTTAGAACAATACACTCATCATCATGTCATTGTAGAGGCTTCAGCTTCATTCTACATCCGTTGAGAAACTTAAAATTGTTTGAGAATCAAATGAGTTACGAACATATTAGTGCTTAAAGGTACAAAAACCTTTTTTACCCGCATCTCATAATTTTGGAGGTGTTCGGCAAATTTCAAAAACTGATTTATGTTCAACTCGGATCTACCTTTTAGAAAAATTGTATCACTTCGTATTTATTTTTGTTCCATAGTGTTATAGGTGCAGCAGAATAATCATGAATTTTACGTAAGAAATGTACATATGTATGTATATTTAGGAATGTTTTCTAAATAAAATTGGTACAATAAGAATAACTGTTTCTCAAAATTGGTCCTAATCTCAATAATTTCGAACAAAAATGCTGAAAAAAAGAACTATTTTGAAATAAAGCGTATACGTTCTGTAAAGCTTTCCTAGAACTAGTTTCGAGCTTGCAAATCTAGAACCGTTCCAAAGAACGAGTGTCATCTCAAAAACTTTCCCTGAGAACCAGTTCCGAAGGTGGCCAAAATAGAACGAATACAGGCCCAAAAAAACGTTTTAGAACTGGTTGTGGAACTAATTCAATATTTCCTGGGTTGTATCCTATATCATCTCCATTAGAAAAATATTTGATTTTTTGATATTTTTAACCAATAGGTATAGTGAAAGAAAAGCACTTTTCATAACAGAAAAAAATAAACATTCGACGTCACGTGTTGTTAGTGGGTGTATGTATAGAATTTTTACGCCAAATCATCAACATTAAAAATAACTACATATAGTAAATACATACAACAATTCTTTACACAAACTATAAACAAATATACAAAAATATATTCATGTACATATTTATAAATATATAGATTAGAGTGTCCCGAGGAATAGCCTTTTTAAGAATTTCATGTAGGAATACCACTCAATCGATGCGTATTAATGTATTGAACACGAGAAAAATAAAAAATATTTTTTTTTGAATGGTCCTAAGTTCCCTATCAGCGATTGAAAATCCTAACCTCAGTATAATTTTTGAAAAATAAAATATTTACTCAAAAATTCCGTAAGTTTTAGCTGATTACAGGAAAAACAATTTTAAAATTTTTGTAAAATATTATTGGTCCACAAAATGATTTTTAGTGCGTTGGAGAGGCATATTATTTAACTTTTTATCGAAATGGGTGTCAAAATTCTCTTAATTTTTAGCTGCAGAAACATATTTAAAAAATGTTTGGCATTTGATTTAGTCCATTTCAGATTTTTTTAGAAATTTTTAAAATTTATTTTCTACAATAAAAGTCGTTTTACGGACCAGAAATACACTAACAAAAATTTTTATTATTTTTCCGCAATAAGCTCAAAATAACGGAATTTTTAACACCCAGTTCGAAAAGATTGCAGAATTTTTTTTTTGAATATATTGTAGTGAGATCAATATTTTCAATCGCCAGTGGGGAACTCAGCACCTTTTCAAAAAAATTGTTTTTTATTTTTCTCGTATTTAGTACATTGAAACGCATCGTTTTAGAGGTATTCCTCCTAAAAAGTGAACCACGGACACCCTAATGTACGTATGTTGGTTTTTATTTATTATTTAAATAAAGCAACCCAATTTCTATCAACTAAATCATACTAGACTGTGCTTCGCCTTTCGATATTCATATAGTAAATAATGGATTGTATTACGTGGTCCTCACCTAGGACATCATAATATTAAATTAATTAGTTTTTCAGCAGTTCTAGCACAAGCATGGAGTAGTCGCAATTTTTCCATTTTCTATTAACATAGAAAATAACAAACACTAATAAATTTAAATATCTTAGACTTTAAGTATTCAATTATAATTGTTTATTCTACATATCTGTATATTGATTTATTTCATTGGATTACATACTACATACATATAAAATATGTATGGGAAAATTTTGCACAAAAAGACAAATCTTTAAATGCTTATAAATTATTTTCCGTCATCTGATTGGAGTAATGTATAACATAAATTAGTTTTAGGCACTAACGAACAAAATAAGATCCATCCAAACAAAATCGATACTTGGAATATGAAAAATTTTTCCAAAAAAAATTTTTGGAAAAAGTATAAGGCGTGAAATTTTTAAATTATTCATGAAGAAAGAAAATGCTAAGAGAGCGTTATATTAGGAGGAAAAAATTGAATGTTTAGAGTTTTAGTAATTTTTTATATAATTAAATATTTTTATTTGTCTTCTGTCATAAAAATATTAAAAATTCCGTTGAAATAATATTGGGTAATTCCAAAATAAATCGAACAAAAAACGCTGTTTTAAATTTTTGTCGTCTTCGGTTTTTCTCAAATCAGGAGCATATATTCTACTCCTCAATGCGGTTTCTATGGCGTCTCGGGTATTTTTGTTCAAAATTAGAAATGTTGATGATTTTAAAAAATGATGTTTCGATTTTAACAAATGATGTTTCGTTCGACAGGTCTTCCATTACTCGTTTTTGACATTTTATTAAAATTACACGAAGTCCTGGTGCAAGTTCCATATAGTGGAAAGTGTCCTTTATCCTTGAATATCTTAAAAAAGGATATTTTGTTTTTCTTAATTTTTTTTTTATGACTAATAGACAAACTTATTGTTATTGCAATGTAAAAATGGGATCTGAATGGGTTTGGAAGTTGCAGTAGTTTTAATTTAGCTACATTTACAATTTCCATAGGAAATGAGTGCCTTTTATGCATTTATGCTGTAATAAATTAAGGTTTTAATGCCGAATAAAGTAAAAATTACCACAGACCATCAAATTAATGTTATAAATATGATGGTGAATAATATATGAAATCATGTCTTATATAATTAAAATATTGGAGATCATAGGTCAAAATAATACACTTTTTTGAAATATCTCCCTTTTCATACATCCTACGAATTTAGGAGTCAGTAGAGAATTAAATTTACGGCATTTTGTTTTTAGACAATTTTTTCATATTATCAGCAGTTTTAGAGTTATAGTAATTTTTCGTTCATTTCAGATATGTTTTTCTAACCTCAATATATTTTGTACTACAAACGTCATTGTGATAATTGTTCTTTTAGCCTTTAATAAGGAACAGATATAATTATTTAATTATACTTCTCGCGCCAGAGTTGTTCTCTGACCCATAGTGCGATCTCTTGTAATGTAAATTCTTAAATTAAATTAGAGGCTATAATAATAATTCGGAATTAATGAATCTTAGTGGATATAATATAACTGATCAATGCGAGTTACGTGTACCAAGTTTCATTAATTTCGATTCATCATTAAGGGCCAATCTTTAGGTGAAAGATTAGCGATTAAATTAAAATTAATCCTCGAATGATGTTTTTGAGTACTCAATTAGTTAATTTTTTTTGCAAGTTTAAGCGCCCAATGGAGGTGGTTTAATCTTAAGCACGAAATGCAAAAGTGTAAACAGCTGATGCAAAAAAAATTAATAAAATTTTTATAAATATAAACATTAAAATGTTCTATTTAGTGATTAGTATAAATTATGGACACTTCAAAATACATTTTTTTTTTTTTGTTTTTAATTTAAGTTTTCATTAATTTTCAATTAAATTTACAATTGTCTTCTTCTTTTTTATAAAATATGCATTGTTTTGATAACAAACAGTGAAGTTTTCTGTTGTTTTGTATGGCAACACTGCAAAGTTTAATCTTGTACTCAAAAACATCAAAGGGGATTAACATAAGATTAAATTTATTTTTAGATTAACTAATCTGATTATTAATTGGCATTTGATTACCATCTCAAAAACCCGCTCTAAAGCTTCTAATTTAATTTAAAAATTTACATTATAAGAGATCGCACTATGGGTCACAGCAGCAAATACATAATAAATACATTTTCACTACCGTTTATATAACATTATCTTATCATCTGACAAACCTCTGACAATAGTACAGAACTTATTTTTGTATTATAACAAGTAAAAAATGTTTACTAAAAATTCATATAATTTATAAAGTTAAATTAGATTTTAAATTTAACTATTTTTTAAAATTTGGTATATTTTCACTGGAAAATATTATCAAGTTTAAAAAAATAACGCTCGAAAGCAATTACGCAAAAATTAACTTCGATCAATATGTAAGATATCGTATTCTCTATAAAAATTACAATAGCTACTGAACGCGTACGACGGATAATACATTAGCTATCTAAAATTCCATAGCAGAACCCTAATTGTCCTGGCCTAATTAATTAACCATATATATAGTTTTATAAAATATTTAATACGACTTACCTTTAGCCCGGTATTTACTTCGTTTCCCATAACGCCAAGTAGAAGCCATTGCTGCATTAAAAATGTTGTTCTAGTCTTAAATTATTATTTTTACAAAACAAAATTTGTATTTTTACAAATTTAAATTTTATTTATCTTTGTGATGATGAATGAGTATTAACAAGAAGGAACGTTTTAATATTTTTAAGGAACAAACACCACTTTCACTTTGATCTATTTAAATATTATCAAGAATTGTTTTAATGCTTTGGAAAATCCTTTTTTTAATTATACATTTTCTTAGTGGTTATTTATTCGAGATACAATATTATCACATACACTCATTCACTGATACCGCGTATAGTTTTATTATGACTTATGTATATTGTTAATGCCAAGAACTTTATTTTTCCTTTTCATTCCGCTTCCAATCTTATTTCATGCAAATATTAGCCGTTTTCAATTTTGATAGTATGTTTAATACCCTATTGAATTAATCCAATTTTCAAGAAAGCGTAAGCACTGTAAATTAGTTTATATAAACGTAAATCCTTCCAACAAAGTTAATGATGTTTGGCCCATATTTAACCCTATTAATGACATAGCCAATTGTTAACGGATTTTTAAAAACAAAGTTGCGTTTAACTCATGAGTATACATGATTTTATAATTCGTTAATATATGTATAACAGTGTAAAAACATATCCAAACTTCTAAAACGGAGCAAAAATAAAATCATAAATATGTATGTTTGCTTATGAAATGCGCATATATTTCTCCAGGCTACTTAAATATAAATGTAACATCAAATATTTCCTATAATTCTTAACTTTTTTAACAAATTCTTTTCTATGCGTGACACATGTCCTTCATCACGACACATAATCTTCACCAGAACCCACTAGAAATTTCACGACATAAATTTTAACTTTCATGCCTTGGGCAATTTCTATGGATTTCTGCTTTTATTTGTTGCTCCATATCATTTTAAATGTTCTCTATTGGATTGGGATCGAGAGATTATACTGGGCACTGCAAACATGACAATCCCGCTCGCTTCCAAGCAGAAGCATGTGCTCGTATGCAAGTATTTATATAGTTTGTTGTATTTTAAAGTTATATCCATTAACATTTTGCCAAAAATTTCAAAAGAAATCACCATTGAACTACAATCTGAAGGCTCAGCACCTCCAATTTGAAACGAATTGAATAAATAAATCAAAGTTATATTTTCTGACGAAAATGCTTAATTTCGATGGATAAATTAGCTACAACTATTATTTCTAGGGCTTAATAAGAAAGAAGAAATATTTTTTCATCATAGGCACAGCAGATATTTAAGACAAATTTAGTTCCTGAGACCTATATATATTGAGGTCTATGATATATTAATTTCAGGAAGAATTTAATTTAAATTTACGCCTTTCAAAGATCTTTCACATGATATCAATTGATCATAATATGTATTCATTTGTGTTAATTATGAAAAAATTGGAAACCCTTAAAAAGTACGTTTTTATAATTCCAAACATTGACCCCAAACACGGGATCTTAAAATGAACCAAACTTTAATTTTCAGTGGGAACTTCAGTACGTTATACAAAATGGGATATTAAATGGGAATTTCGTGTCAATTGACCCAACTTTAAAAATCGATGTCTTCCAATGAATTTAAAATAGGTTTACCATGTCTTTGATATCCTTTAACTACTTTATGTATAAGCTTCGACATGTTAATGAATTTTCCTATAGGTATGACATATGACACATTGTGTAGTTGTAATTTGAAGTAGGATTTTTATGGCCTGGTATTATTGAGTTTTTATGGGTAAAAACTTCAATGATTATAACATTAAATTATGCAAATTACAGTAGTTAAAAAGGTTATGACATACATATATGGTGAATTTCATGTCAAGTGCGATTTTCATCTCTATCGGTCAAGAACTGCCGGAGTCATAAACAAAGAAAAAAAGAAAAAAAGGCGCACTTAAAAAAAAGCTATCTGAACGACCAATAGGTGAAAAGTTACACTCATTGCAATAAAACCCTGTATGACCAAAATATCTACTATCGTCAAAATCGATTTTTTGAGTTGGGTCACTTGACATGAAATTCCCCATATATGTATGTATGTCATAACCTTTTTAACTACTGTAATTTGCATAATTTAATGTTATAATCATTGAAGTTTTTTTTAAATCTTGGAACTCAATAATACCAGGCCATAAAAATCCTACTTCAAATTACAACTACACATATAGGAAAATGCATTAATATGTCGAAGCTTATACATAAAGTAGTTAAAGGATATCAAAGACATGGTACACCTATTTTAAATTGTTACAAGTCTAATTATTCTGCATTGATTTCAAATGCAATGCCAATCATAGTATATAAAAACCAAATAATTTATATGTATATGTATATAATCCAAACGTAAACATCGACGTCGCAATGCAAAGTTCTGCCGAGGACAGCCAGACAACCGGAAAGTTGTTTTTTTAAGTGGTAGTAGATAGAGTCGTAGTATTTTTTAGTTTTCATTTGATATATTTATGTATATTTTCATTACGTAGTTCCGTGCTTTTATATATTATAGATTTGTGTTTCTATTTTTACATTTCATTGATATACATAACACTTATTTATATATTTTCTTTATTTTTTAACAACTTTTCGCTCTATTTTTATTATTAGGTTTTACTTATTGATTCACATTTATTTTTACTATATTTTTTTTGTAGAGATTTTTGTTTATTTTTTCCATTTGCACAATCTGGCAGCACATTTTCGGCGCTTTTGGTAGCTTTTTTCATTCCATTTTCCATCGTTCGTAGTATTTTTTCGTTTCTTTTTTAGTAAGAATTTCCTACCCCCTCTTTTAAAAATGTGTTTTTTATGGTTGTCATCATAATCATCATCACCATGTTTTTATTATTGCTTTTACACTTTTTATTTTTACACTTTTTAACATTCAGCAATAGTTTGGTTCTAATTGTTTAATTCTTTTACTCTTACAAACTTTCTTAATTAGTTCAAAAGAGCCAATAAAAGATATATGTATAAATACATACGTACATACATACATATGTATGTACATACATAAATTCATATACTATTTATTGTATATGTTTGATTTAAATAAAATTAAATACCATACATTTATTTCGTAAAAGTTGTATCCTTAAGCATTCTTTTTCCAATACTAGTTATTTTTTATTTTAAAAAAAATTACACTATTTTTCCATCAACAAACGCAGTTAATAAACCAGACAAATGTTTAATGAACACTCATTGATGGTTGTTAATATTAAAAATAAGCCGTAAGTAAATCTTTTTAATTGATTGAATCTTTGAAAAAATATAAGAATTATTTAATTCTTTTTTTTTTATTCTATGATATTTAATGTCTGCACTTTCATTTTATTTTTCAGTAATTTTTTCCAAGAATTTTTTTTGACGACTTTAGTAACATTTTGCGCGTGTAGACTTTCCGTTCTTCTTTACACTGACATTCATCATGTTTTTTTAATCACACAGTTGTATTTTGGCATCATTTTAGCGTTTTACATAAGTATGTTCGTTAAGTTTACAATTTGTTATGTTAATAGGTACATTTAATTTTTTGTAAACAAATTATAATTGCGCTAGGTACAAATATTTTTATGATAATATTTAGATTTTATACAGCGTAGTGATGTAAAGAAAAAGTCGACCTTCTAACTTGGTTTAAGTCGACTTCTATAAATTTTTAGATGGACGACTTTTGGACTTTTGCTAACATTTGACTTTTCAAATCAACCTTTTACAAAAAAAACGGAACTTATATACATTGGGTATAACTCTCCAATTTTGACAAACATTTTACCACTTATAGGCCTTTTAATTCTATGATTTTTGATATATGTCTTTTGGTCAACAAATGTATAGTTATGGATTTATAGACCTTCGAAGTTAAATATATATATTATCAATATCTTCTCTATTTAAGAACCCATCCGGACAATTTATATATATATCATTAGAAAGAGCTCTGAAATACCTTTTCAACGATATATAATATGATCCTCTTTATTAACCCTTTGAGGACCAATTCCACAAAAAGTATTTTTTATATAGAGTTTTTTGACAAAAATGCCGTTATTTCGTAAATCCATCGATATCTTAATATCTCAATAAGTATAGACGATATTGTAGTTGGAATAAGGTAAAGTACCTAAAATTAATGTTTTTTATTTGATATTAGTTAATTGTTGTTGTTTTGGCAGGAATAAAGTATTATAACTATATAAAGTACTAAACTAAATATACATAAAGTATTGAAAATTACATCAAAATACCTTTCCAACGATATATAATAGAAGCTAATTTATTAGCCTATTGAGAAGGATTAATACAAACTGTGATTTTTATATTAACCTTTGTTAATAAAAGTTCTGTTATATCACAAATTCATTCATAAGAAGATACCGATTTATGTATATTGAGTAAATTGCGATTTTTCTGGGTAAATATTCGGAAATGGGTATGTAGCGCCGGACCCGAACAATTTTTTTAAATTTTTTGGGTAATGAAATGTTGTATTTGTAAACCCCCCAAAAAAAAAAAATACAAAATTTTGTGGGTAAACATTCGAAAATTGGATGATAGCGTCGCAGGCGAAAAAATCGCGCGATTTTTTTCAAATAATTTTTCACTTTTTTAAATAATTTAAACATTTTTTTGTCACAGTCTCTCTTTACTATTTTTAAACTTAAATATCATCCCCATTTATTAAGATATTAGCACATATCTATACATCAAATGAAAGCTTGAAATCTTTTCTACAATTTTCTCGATATTTATCGGTACCATTATATCGATAGATTTATGAAATACTTTTTGTGGAATTTGTTCTCAAAGGGTCATATTATATATCTTTGAAAAGGTATTTCAAAGCTCTTTCTAACGATATATATATTGTCAGGATCGGTTCATAATTAGAGAAGATATTGAATATATATAAATTTAACTTTGAAGGTCTATAACTCCAAAACTATACATTTGTTGACCAAAAGACATATATCACAAGTCATAGAATTGAAAGCTTTATATGTGGTATAAATTTTTTCAAGATCGGAGAGTTATACCTATAATATATTTAAGCCAAAAAAACACTATAATCTGAGTTTATGTTTATTGCTAAGTAATAGTTTCACCTTGAACGCTTTGTACGCCTCCAAACCTTTTCAAGAATTAGTTGACTGCTTGAATGTCAATATATAAGACTAGTAAAAATTAGTTTTGTCGTCAGTGGTATCAATTGCAATCAATTCGTTGGCATTTGTATTTTTGAAGTATTTCGTAAAAAATCGTTTGGCAACCCTTTGATAGTATATTGAATTGAATTATCAAAACAAAAACCAAATAAAAATTATGGCAATTTTTTATTGAATTTGTTAATCCTATACATTTTTTGTAGGACATTCCGCAAATGAATACGTTTGAGAGATTTTAAGTAAATAAAATAAAAAAAGTTATGTGCCAAAACCAGCAATAACTTAATCATTAAATTTTGAGATTAATAAAAAGAATCTAAGACACATATAAACAATTTCCATTTTTACCAAAACAGTAATGCAAAACTCTAGTGAGGAAAACTTTAAAAGGAACTTCAAAACAAAGAACTTGCATTTTAATTCAAAGACTATATTATTCGTCGATTGAACTTGCATGCAAACATATACATGTACCATTGTATGTAAGTATAGTCAAAATGGAAAATATCGATGTGAACTATGGGGTTCATATTAATACGAGGCATCAGGTATTGGCCAAGTATAGCACTGCTCTCAAACAGCTCCGATCGTTTGCTGAGAGATCATACGAACTGCGCCCATTTGCTTTTGACAATTACGTGCTCTTCCAGTACTTTCATCATCGCACTGATGCGTCGCTAGCAGGATCTGCCGATACATCGAGTTACTTGAATTTATCGCCAATGACGTTCTTGAAAATAGAACTACTCAATCATATATTGGATCGGAGGAGGCAAATTTTGTATTGGCTTTTTTACCTGCTTCTGGCTGTACTCTGCATTTTTGTATACCGTCATGAAACTTCATCGTCTGTAGCTGAGAGAAGCGTAAGATCTATGGTTTATCCTAGTATGCGTATGTGGCGGCGAATGACATTGCCATTGATTGAACGATTTCCACGCCTTACAGAACTGTACGATGAATCCTGCTTGATGGGAAATCCGTTCTTCCAAGTTGATGACATGAGTTGTTCGCCTTGTTCACATGTAAAGTCAGTGATTGATTTGACATTAGCATTTGAAAATGAGGATGTTGCGAATAAAAACATTGAAGAAAACGATAGGGTTACAAATTTCATTCATAAAATAATACCTTCAGAGTATGTGCCTTTTGTATTCAAGGTAAGGTAACTATGAGGTGGAGAAATGCAAATAGGGATAACAGTTTTACTTACAGATAAGCCATGATCCCATAGAACTTCAGGATGTTTACAATATGTATTTAAGTAATCAAGATATTTTTGAACGTGATGCTTTTCGTGTACATTCGACCAATAAAGACGTAACGAATCTTGAAGAACTTTTCAATCAATTTAACCAAACAGTCTTGGCAGAAACACATAATCTGTGGAGATGCAATCGCATGCTACCAGCACGTCTTCTTCGAAAACTTATTGCTCGACCATCAACTTTGCCAAGTAGTTTAGCTTTGGAGCGATATATGGCTATAGATACACCACAAGCACAATCTTATACTCTACCGGACACGGAATGCCCACATGTCTATATTCAGCAAGCCCTGGGTACTCGATTTATTATTTTAAGACCGACTAGTGAGTGTCGACATCGTTGTCGCACATTATCCATCCGCTTACCACAGTCATTTATCTGTAAGTTTATTTGAAGTTGATTTTGAATATTTATTAATAAATTGTTTCCTGTTTTAAATGTACGAATTGCAGTAAGTTACAATTCATGGTATTGGAAACCAATTTCGGCACCAGATCCTGTATCGGACTCGATATCAATTAGTCTAATTGGATCGTATTGTTAGACTAGTGAAATGATCATTGAATACAACTTTATATTATGTCTGTTCCCGTTCTCGTTAGTTATGCAAGTTTTAGTCAAAAGTAATCAGAAAAACAACAAAATACATTGAAATTTTTGTACGAGAACGACTTATTATAAAAACTTGTAACCCAGACAATTACGGGAACTGACATTATATGCATATTCATACACATAATGTTTTTTGAAATATTTTCTTTTTGTTTATTATTTTTGTCATTACCCTTTTCACAACAGTTCTTAAATGAGCATTTTAATATGCTGATATTAAATAATAATTTTATACGAAACATAGTTTAAAAATTTGCGCCATGATTCTTCCTCCGTTATTTTAAAAGCATTTAAAATTTCATATTTATCTGGACTGTTCAGTTAAAATTTGGACGTACTGTATTTCGAATTGTAGCGCCAACGTTGTAAAGAGGCTAGTCTTAGACACATTGGAATATTTCAAATTCATATAAAAAAATTTTGTTCATAGCTTTTAAGGATAATATCTCCTAAAAATCTTATTTAAATTATTAAATTTTTAATTTTTTTTCTTTGTTTTTTTTTTTTTTTTTTAAATTCTATACATTTTAATACGGTAATATCTTCTTATATCAATCAAATATACCGAAAGATAAAAACGTCCCCATTTTAACTAAACAGTGCATTATTAAGGACGATAGTGAATACTATTTTAGTTTTGTAGTTGTTCGAATATAATTCGAAATACTTCGCAAATTTAATATAAACACCTTAGGATTAAAAAATGTAGACATAACAACAGCATATATTTTGTCAATATTTACACTTTAGTAACACTTTCTTATATGTATACCTACTAGATGTAATAATTAAAATAAATTTTAATTTCAACTATGAATAATAAATATTTAAAAATGTTCGAGTTTCTGATTAATTTCTGTCCATATGACTAATAGCATCAATCGACTCATACATACATATGGGCATTTCCCTGAGAAGGTCTACCAAAATTTCGTTAAATATATTTGTATTTCTATAAAAATCGAAAAATCTATAATTTATATGACCGTTAACAATGCTGCCGATTTTTGTAATCATTGGACCTCATTTGACAAGGTATTTATTCAGAAAATTATTTCAGCTGTTTTCCTAGACACAGATTGCTTGTTGCATCGCAACCAAGTCAAGTATTCCTAAACGCAACTGTGCGTATTTTGACAATGCAGTACATAAAGTCAAATGTTTTGCAAATAACCATCAAACATTTATTTATTTATTTATTATGGTATTATAAATTGTTGCTTTACAGTAGTCTTAATTTCTAAAGAGTTTAAGAACATTCAAATTCTTTTCTACTTTGTTATTTAAAAAAAATTATTTGTAACATAAGTGTTTTAATTAATATTGAAGGAAAGGAAAAAATTAAAAAAAAAACCTTTATGAAAAGCTTAGGAATAATTATGTTAGCGGAATAAAATTATGCTGAAAGCAGTTCATTAATGTGACTATACCTAGACAATTCGCATTTTCTGTTAAAATTTGTTGTTATTTTATTTATCTTTTCATAAACAAGATCAAAGCCAGACAGGCTATGTAGTCGTCGGGTGGAAAAGTGCAGGGTAGCTTGTACAACATTTTAAGTAACTTATTTTGAGTTACTTGTAGTTTACTGATATGTACATTAGCGGTAGTCGACCATACAGCGGCGGCGTAGAACATTACAGGAGGGAAAATTAAACCATCAAACATATGCAAATATTGTGACATTTAAGTTGACTATGCTTTTTGCAGACAATGCATTTGATTGGTTTTTTTTCTTTTGTTTGCTTGATTTTTACACAACTTTGATGATGCATCCAGACGTTTAGGAAAACAGCCTCTCTTATAAACACTAGTGTTGTGTTAAAATTAGACATACATATGTACATACATACATATGTTTTGTATAAACGTAAAACCCACCATAAAATTTCATAGGGATCGGTCTTCATTTAATCCTAGCTCCTATATAACACCACTTTTTTATTTTTATGAAGAAATTACTTAAGTGTGTTAATCGGTCGACCATGCCCGACAGTAATTTCTTACATATTTTGTATCTGTTTAAGTCTTAGTATGTAGAAATTTTCAAAGGAGCAACAGGGACAACATAAATATCATGAAGGAACAAAATTTTGCGTTCAACATGTCGCGTTCTAACATGGTTAAAATTAAAATTTTAAAAAATTGTAAATAATTTTTGGATGAAATTATAACGATTTTAAAATTAGTCTCATTGACCATAGGTTTCACTGAAATCGACATTTGGACTGTTACCCAATAAAATAACTTCTATTTTTGTAGCGTTCGAACACCCTAGTTTTTTTGCAATTATCCTTGAAATGAAAATTTTGCCAAAATCAAACTTAGCAGCAATTATAGGGCTAATTAAAAGCTATAAGTAACACCTATTTCAAAAAAAAAAAAATATTAATTTTATTTTGACCTTTTTATCACATTAAATGTGTTCGGCTGTCGCGTTCGACATGTCGCTAAGCAATACATGTTTATATTTAAATCAAATAAATAACTCAAATATCATAGTTTCGAGGCCCTATCATTATAAAATTCATCGGGGTTATCAAGGCTAGCGTAGAACTTGGTTTTGCACCTTTTTGTCAATATACAAGTATATTAAACATAATTATTAGCAGTTGTATAGCGGCTAGCTGAAATAATGGACCGATGTTAACCATTTTTATTTATTTTTATTTTATTTAACAATATTCAATAACCTAGCCTATAGGCCATAAGCGGTTACAAATTTCTACTTTACAATGATTCTTTCAACACAAAATGAATAATTATAAAAAGAAAAATTAAGGAACTAAATTATTTAAAAAGATAATAAACTATACAAAATAACCATAGGACAATTAAATTGCACTGCATAAATAAATAAATTCCTACATAATTTTCCATCAATCAAATGTAATTTACAAAAGCAAAACAAGTTAAAATAAAGAAAAGAATATGTAGAAGTCATAAACATTCCCAAAAATGAACTCGCAGAACCAATCAATATGTCATACAGCAACTATATGGTAAATAACACTCCAGACTATAAAGGACATAGGTAACACATATCAGATAGAAACATGAAGCTATAAAACACCTATCAGTTGAACGTTTCTGAAGAAATATAAGACAATTTGAAGAAAGTTTTTAATTTAACCACCCTAATAAATATCGATTCATGAAAAATAATTCAAATACCAAAATTACCAGTCAATTACATAATATAAATTTCAAGACTAACTTTAATAGAACCAAATGAAAAGACAATTCTATAGGAGCAAAAATATAAATAGCAGCATTTTCAATAGGTTTCGTCTCTGGTACAATAGAAGATAAATTGCCAAATTGCATTATCTTCAAAATTTCGACCTGTAGTAAAAGGTTTACAAGAACTATTCGGGGTTCAGTTATATGGGGGCTATATGAAATAATGGATCGATCTTAACCATTTTCAATAGAATTCGTCCCTGGGACAATAGAAGATCATGTACCAAATTTCATCTTCAAAATTGCTAGCTGTAGTTTGATTACAGACGGACAGACATAGCTAAATCTACTCAGAAAATGATTCTAAGCCGTTTGGTATACTTTAATGTGGATATAGGTGGTGACCAGACATCCCGCCTTTTAAAGGTTGATCCCGACTTAGATTTCAATCCCGCTTTTTAATAACAAATCCCGCTTTTTGGGATTTACTATTTAAAAGTTTAAAATTTAAACTTTAAATTAAGAAAATTTGTTAGAAAATAGAGATTTGAAAAAAAAAATTCTAGTAGTTTTTAAAAACTTTTCAAAATGTGGGTATATGTAAATAGACATCCACTTTTACATAACAAATTTTAAGGTTGATTTTTAAAGTTGATATTCTAAAAAAATCATATTATTTTAAGTAACAAGTGAACATTAACTTTTTGGACCCATAACTTTTAACTTATAAAGCTGTGCTTTATAAGTTGAGTTACAAGAAAAATATCAATCCACTTTTATGACCAGTATTTTAAGTCCCGAGCTACTGGAGAATTGAATTTATCCTCACTTAAAGTGACTGCGCATCTGATCCGTCAGAACACACTTACATATCGCCAGCTAAAACGCAAACGGCCTATCTAACATTTTTGAAATTTTTCAGGAGAAGCAAAAAACTATTTAAATTGAGATGTTTGTTTCTATCAACGCGATTTATTTGTAGTAAATAAACAAATTGTCTAATAGTGAAATCTATCAGTTGTTATGGTAGTTGACGATGGCGTATATAAAAATGGATAAATTGGACTTTTTACCTAATCGAAATTCAGTTTTTATTTTTTCTATGCGTAAAAATTTTGAGATAAAGAGGTTTTAATTCAGCATTATTCTTCAGTAGTGCTTGTAAAATATTTGAAAGTTAGTATTGATTTTGAGGTGCTTGCACCTTTTTTGGGAACCTAAAAATCAAATGTTTGTTTCTATCAACGCGATTTATTTGTAGTAAATAAACAAATTGTCTAATAGTGAAACCTATCAGTTGTTATGATAGTTGACAATGGCGTATATAAAAATGGATAAATTGGACTTTTTACCTAATCGAAATTCAGTTTTTATTTTTTTCTATGCGTAAAAATTTTGAGATAAAGAGGTTTTAATTCAGCATTATTCTTCAGTAGTGCTTGTAAAATATTTGAAAGTTAGTATTGATTTTGAGGTGCTTGCACCTTTTTGGGAACCTAAAAATCAACTCAGGAAACAAAAATAATAATATAAAATTTGGGACTTTCTCAACCCACTTAGTTTAAACAGTCGCTTAGTTTAAATTCCACTCTTTTTGTGTGGTTTGTTGACAGCGGTTCCAAGCTGTAATTCTGTCCCTCCGTGAACCGGCACTTTCTGCGCAATATTTGTTTATATGGATTACGGTATACTTAACAAGGTACCAGCCAAAGTAAATTTATAAAGTAGACTCATTTGAACAGCTGACTATTTTTTTTAAACTTGCTATTTGTGGATTTACTTGTCAAAAATGTTTATGTTGCCATATTTGTTTTCATTTTAACGCTTGCTTTTGTACAAATTTCTGAGTAATTTGTTGTATTTAATGTGAAAAAGTGTATTTTAAGTGTATAATATTTTTAAAAATGTTCTAATTTTTAAAAAATAAAGAAAACTCTGTGACTTTTAATATAAATAACAACATATTTTTGGAAAGTACAACAATAATGCCATATTTTCCATTAATTATTGGTTCATTTTTGTAAACAAATTTTGACAAGTGAGTATTTCGAACAAAAACAAATTGCCTGTGGTTTTTGTAGACGTTTGTTGTACAACAACTCGTGTCGCTACTTTATTAATTTACTTTGGTACCAGCCAAGGTATATTAATTTTATAAGGTAGTGTCATCGGCGAATTCAGAATACCAAGCGAATTGGTTATATTTTTTTTATATGTAGTTTGACATTGTGCCTGCACTTGAAGGCGAATTTGCTGTAAGGGAAAAATTTCAAAAACAGCTGACAAATAAATCAAAGCGAATTTATATTAAACAAAAAATGTTTATAAATTTGAATCTGTTTATAATTTATTCTGATGTTTTAACTTTTAAAGATTAAAAACACAAAAATATGCCCTAATCACACAATTTCACTTTAATCACAAAATTCACATATACAAAATGAAACCAGTTTGACATTAACAAAATGAAAACAAAGTTTGACATTTACAAAATGTAAACAAAGTTTGACATTAATTATACACCACGGCGAAAAATGAACATAATAGCAAAAAACTATCAGCTGTTCTGATAACACTACCTTATAATTAATATATCTTGATGCAAACCAGGCGAAACGAAAAAAAATATCAGCTGATTGAAAAACACCACCTTATGTGAATTCGCCTTGAAAAGTTTATTCGTTGGAGTAAAGAACAAGAGGAGGAAAGAATCTATTTTTGTTAAAAATATATTAATTCATTACAATTATATTTTGTGATTATAACACATATTTTTAGAAATTCTAAATTTGTTTTTATTAAAAATTAAATGTATAATATTGTAATTTACAGTTTATTTAAAAATTTTATTAATAAAGTAATTCCAACATAATGTGAAGATTAAATAACCATCACATGTTTTAAATTTAAATTAGTAAAAAAAGAGTTTAATGTCAGCTATTTTCAATTTGTACCTTTGTAATATTTTTAGATATGAGAGTATACAACTCTACCGTTAAACGTATTTTGGATTTTGTACCGGGAAAAAAACGTTTTGGACTATATCGATTTCTACCAGTGTTTTTTTGTTTGGGAGCTGCCTTGGAATACTCGATGATAAATTGGACTGTTGGAGAAACAAATTTTTGTAAAAGAACATTAGTAATAAAATGCATGTACATTAATTAAGACAAATTTTATTTATTTCAGATCGTACTTTTAAAAAACGTCAAGCAAAAAACTACGTTGAAGAGAAACTGCACCATAGCATTACAACGGACACTACTCAAATTTCTTAAATTTACACTGCTTTCTTTATCAGGATGCCTGCTGGTGTGTCGTGGGGTCAATACCTTAAATTTATGTCGTGTGCTTTACTATCAATGATGGCCGGATCTCAATTGGTCCATATGTACTACAAACCCCTTCAAGATTTAGATTCATATATTGAGCAGGAAATGAAACAGGCCAAAAAAACGTAACGGAAATTAACATATGCATGGGTCTATGATTCCAAATTTGCTGTAAATAACGACTTAAAACGAAAATATATATATGTACGCTTATACCACAAATATTTTTTTTGCGGAAAACAAGATTTTAACACAAATGTGTCTGCATATACCTATGTAGGTTTGATAAAATAAAATACATTTGCAAGTAACTACTGACTAGATATTCTATTGGATTGTATAAGTATATTAAAATACCATGGTATCGCTGTTGATGTTTGTGAAAAACTTTTTTCATTTTTTTTATAAATCGTGTTATATATTTAATCAGAAGCTAAGGATATTTTTGTTAGTTGAAAAAACAACTTCAGTCATATGTGTTATTCATGAATTAAAATAACAGTGAATGACATGAACAAAGAAAGTTCTTTATAAATTAAGAAAGGGTAATATTACATTACTTTGATGGTATATTACTATCGCAAATTACTAACTGATTACTTGCACCTCTAATTTTAATTAGCACTCAAAATAAAAGTTTGACTTAATATTTATTATGTTTTACATTAAATAAATTAATTTAGATCTAAATTCTGCTCCCCATTTAGCAGCGCATCATTATTGTTTTGTACAAAATTATTTATAAAATTGCGATTAGCGGCTATAGCAGTAGCCGCATCACTTGCAGTAAGTTTGTTATGAATTTTACGATGATTTTTTAAACAAGTTGGTTGACGATATGCCTGCCCGCAAATATCGCATACGTATGGTTTTTCGCCAGTGTGTATATATATGTGATGGCGTAAAGTTTTACGTGAAGCAAAGCTTTCACTGCAATGGGGGCACTGGAAAGGTTTCAGTTTTTGATGAACTGCTCTAATATGAGCTTCCACCTGATATTTTCGAACGAACTCCCGACCGCAGAATTTGCACGCCAGTTTCTGGTCGGAGTGCACCAACATGTGTGAGTCTAACATAAACTGTTTTGCAACTCGACGGCCGCAAATTTTGCATTCGAATTTTTTCTCGTCAGCATGTACCCGTAATTTGTGGTATTTAAGGGTATATTGAGAATGAAAAGATTTTTTACATTCCTCGCATTCTAATCGATCTTTGGGCAACAGTTCTTTCCGCTTCAAGTCCTCTTCTGTCGGATGTCGAGTTTTCATATGATAACGTAAATTTGAACTCTGTTTAAATGTGGCTCCACATTGTTCACACACGTATTGATGAGTTGTTTCCATATTGAGATGCTTAAAACGCACATGACGTTGCAACGTAATAAAGTTGCTATACTTTTTATCACATCCCGGAATACTGCAATCGTACGAATCCTGCTTCCTTTCGTGTACGTCTCTAATATGAGTTGACAACCCTCCTACAAACGAATATGCCTTATCGCAAAGTTGACATTTAAACGCCTTTTTTTGTCCTTCATGTACTTTACGGATATGAGCCTCAAGGGTAAGTTTATGTCCAAACTTATGCTGACATTGATCACACTTGTACCTATTAGCCAGACCTTTCTTGCGACCACTATTTAAAATATAGTGTCTTTTTTTCTTTTCCGTCTTGGTTGTATTTGGGAGTGTATTTATATTGAACTCATTGTCGCTTGATGATTCACAACCAGAGTTCAGTTCAGTTTTTATAGATTCTGAAGGTTGCTTTTCTAACTCAACGCTCTTTATATATATTGAACTGTTGGATTTATTTTCTTTTAACTTCCCTTTAGTATTTTCTTCAGCCTCCTGCGACTCAAATCGTAATTCATGGTTCGAAAATGTATTCTCTTCATTTAGTTTTATATTACATTTTTTTAGCTTCTGTTTCCTTTCCTTGGCTGCTCTTTCGGAAAGAAGAATTTTATTACTTAACACTTCATTATCGGACGAATCATCATCTGCATCATGAAACGTACAATCTTGCCAGTCGTTATCCAACATTTCCGTTGGACATATTTCCGTTCTATTTTTTTGCTGTAAGTCTGTTGTTACTCCTTCCAAATTTAAGTTTATCGATTCACTTTCTTCTGTGCCAATAGATTTTTTACATTTACGGCTTGGTTTACTATTGGGAAGGGAATCAATTTTCCCTTTAGCCCTCCGTGCTCTGGGTTTTCTTAAATTATCTTGTTTTTGTGTGTTTTGAAATGGATCAGGATCCATACTATTAAAATCGTTATTGTTATCGGTGCTACCTAGAATAATTGCTTCGGTCTCCATCAAGGAATCTTTCAGCTAAATTTAAAAAAAATGTGAGTACGTTATTGTATGTTAACTTTTCTACAACTTACAAATAAATTGAAAATGTCATCTTTGACGCTAACACTTAATTGGTCCGTTTTATTGTCTTTAAATTCGAGTCCCTCATCGTTCAGCTCTATTTTGGCAACACTGCAATTGTCACTGAATACTTTGTATAGTTTTTTAGCACTATCCAACGCCTTATTTCGAAACGTATCAAACGTTTGTAAGTGCTTCAAGCACTCTATGCATACATATTGCGGGTACGACTGTTCATTGCACAAATCCATTCCACACCCCAAGGACACATACTTTTCCAACATCTCTTGTAAATTCTTATTTACATTGATGTCGACAAACTTGTTTGGAAACGATGTCACTACATTGTCAAAATCGCATGAATTACTTTCATCTTTAAGGAGTTTACACAAACAGGTGCGACACCTTTCCTTTGCGTTAAATTTCGTTAATGTTATCATTACTAATATGTTTTACATGGAATCGAATTTTAATAATAATATTTTTTTCGCAAAAATCGGTATTATTTGTTTACAAACGCTGAAGCGAATTTAAGTGGAAACGTCAAAATCGAAAAACTGTGCAAAAAATATACTATGTTAATAAACAAATGAAACAATGTGGAATAAAACAGATTCTTCAAATACGGTTCTATAAATCGACTTCGAGCATCGACTTTTTGTCGGGAGAATCGAAGTCGACTATTTTGTTCAAAATAATAAAAGTCCACTTTTCTTAAATTGCAAGAAGGTAACTTTTTGTTTCAACTATAGAACCCTACTTTAAACCACAGAACAAAGGTAACTTTATCATATCAGAAATATATAGTTTTGTTTCAGAAATTTTCATTTGTATTTCAGAATTTTTCATTTGTAAGTTAGGATTTTGTTTAAAATTTGTGTCAAAACACGATTTCAAAAATTGGTTCACTTGACATAAAATCCCCCTTATACCTATTAATTAATGACATTGTAACCAAATTGAAAAGTGAATTACAAATTTGTTTGTTGAATAGATCTTTTATTGGCAATACATTATATGCACATACATAAATGCACTTATTATGCATTTACTGTATTTACTAAGCTTAAGTTAATTTCTGGTAAATTATCAATAAGATCCTGCCTTTCTGTGTCTTTTCCAAAATGTATCTTTCGATGCGTTTTCATAGCGGTACGTTGCCGAAAACCTTGACCACAAACATTACATTTATAAGGTTTCTCACCCGTGTGTATAAATCGGTGATGACGTAACGTTTGCAAGGCGCCAAATGCCTCACCACAAAAATCACATATATGTTGTTTAACTTTCAAATGTACCAACCGCATATGGTGAGTTTTATCGCCAAGTTTAACGAAACGCACTTCACAGCCCTCAAAGTCGCATTTAATACGTTCTGTGTATTTGATATGGGTTCGTTTATGTTGATTCAATAGCGTTTTACGTGTAAATCCCATTTGGCATTCGGAACACTTGAAGGGCTTTGAATTCGATGGGTTGTGATTGCCTATCACGTGATATTTAAGTGAGTACTGCGTTTTAAAAACTTTCGGACAATAATCGCATTTTATTTGGTCTGTTTCGGTATGCTTATTGATAATATGCCGCGAGAGTGAATATTGATGAGCAGCAATAAAACCGCACTGATCGCAAATCGATCGCATGGCCTCTTTATGTTCGGAATGCTTGTTTGTCAAGTGTTGTTTGAGAATTACAGCTGTTTTAAATGTTTTATCACATTTTTCACATTTGAATACTTCTTGCGACTTTTCGCTATGACACTCTCGTTTATGCTGCAAAAGAGTTTTGTACAGATTATAAGCCTTATCACATTGCAAACATTGATATGGACGTCTGATGCCCTCGTGTACTTGTTTCATATGTCCATCGTACTTATTCTTTTCCCAAAAATATTTATTGCATGTTTTACATTCATACCGAACTTTCTTTGGTCCATTATCCACTTCCGATTTTTTACTGTATTCTACAAATGTTTTTCTTCTTTTGTACGTTTTCTTTAAAGTACAAGATTTTCTAGTCTTTTTATTGATTTGAGAATTTTTGCTTTTTAAGCCTTTTTGGTGCAATGATGTGATAAAATCGGTATCATCTGCGTTATCGGAGGAGAAGTGAACATCGATGTCTTCATAACATTTGGATGTTATATTAAGTTTTCCTAACGATATTTCTTCATCCAATCGGGTGCGGTTATTGGTTGGTGAATCTGAATGACTATTCAGTAAAAATGTTGAATCTGTTTCATATTTTTCTATATCATTTATATCAACTAAGGATTCGGTATCCGTTAGAAATTCCTCAATCTGAAATAAATAAAAAAATTACATACCCATATTGTCTCACACAAAATTAAAATTTAGGTGTACTTTGAAAAGAAACATAATTTAATAATACTATGCAAAACTTACATTTTCATTTTGTTTATTATTTATAACCATTGCCTCATCGTCTTTGCTTTCGCTTTTAAGAACTTCTCTTTCTAATATCTTCCTTATTTTTTCATCAGTTGCAATAGCCAGTTGGTGAAGTTTAGAAAAATCTAACCATTTATCAAAACAGGAGCAGCACAAAAATGGTGCATAATAACACAAACTATCGTCACCTGCGGTAGTCCGTGCAAGACAGACTTGTATTAAATTCTCCAGTTCTGGGTATTTATTTGTGGGAACATATTTTGTAGAATTATCTTCATTATTCACCTCCAACTTGGCTAGGCAGGTACGACAATATTGTCGCAAATGTTCCACAGATAACATCATCTATGAAATGTAAACAGAAATAAATTTCCATAAAAGACAACAAAAATTGTGAATTGAAAATTGTATTTCCATTTAGTTTGACAGCAAAAATTTATGACAATTCTCCATTCCACATGTTTCGTTCTATTCAAGCCATTCTATTACTTTTGAAGTATATTTATTTCTTCAGGTCATATTCTTAAAGTTTATCTGCGAGAAAAGATGAGTTTTCTTTTTAATATAAATGTGTGCCGCGTTTGTATGCAAAATGAACAAAGTAATGATTTATGGAACAACAAGGATCTACTGGAAAAATTTAAGTTCACGACCCGTTTAGAGGTAAATACAAATTGTACTTCGATTTTAAAAATTGTTTATAGTTCTATTACAACACATACAAAAGAAATAAATTTTGTGATGCCAGATTTACAAAAAAAAAAAAAAAAAACAAGACGACGAAAATTTTATCAAATATTCACACTATATTGGCTCAGATTCTCTCCCTAAAAACAGATTCTCTCCCTAATATGATATGATCGTAAAAATTTTGGACCAGTTCCCGTAGCCTAAATATGCTTTAGTTTGGTATATGTCATTTTTGTACATTTCGATGGCAATATATACTATAGAATTTGGATTTTTTTATTTGCTCGGTGTTGGAACTATTTGCCACTTGAATTACGCCTGTTTTACAATTCCAATAAAACTGTTATCAATTCTTACCATTAGTGTTGACAGTTTGTATATCTACACTTTCCTTTCTTTGTGATAAGTTCTATTGTGTTTTTTATTGGGATCGAATTTTACCTTTTTCTTTTTCGCTTGAGAACCAGGGTTTGTAATTATTTGAGATTTTTTTTATGTATAAGCAATTTTTGTTTAATTCATATTTAGGCATTTTCTGTAATACAGTTTAATTGACCTAATGAAGCTTTTATATTACAGTAATGAATAAATAAATGATACACATAATATAGCAATTCTGGTTGTATTATAAATATATTTTTTAGAAACATATTTTTTTTAATTCGACGCTGAAACGTTGATACCGCAGTTTAAAAATAAGTTTTTAGACTCAGATGGTGATGTCGATTTTAATTCTATAATTTTTTAATTTGTAACCATTTATGCTTAATCTTACATTTTACTTTAGAGTTTATTTTTTGGGTGGTACAGATTCTGATAACCATTTCATATACGGCAAATTTCCATGCTCAATTGGAAGCGTAATAACTTCTGCGACACTATACGGATGATTATTACGCACCCACTTTGATAATTCCTCTACACGGCTTGTTCGCGTTTTGATTATCATCAAATACTCATTGTCCTCATTAAGCTTGCCCTCCCACATATACACTGATTGTATGTTTGGAATTATATTCACACAAGCGGCCAGTTTTTCTTCTACCAATCCTTTGGCTAATTTTTTTGCTATTTTATCATCAGGCGCGGTAACAAAAGCAATAGAACTTGCACCCGATTCGTATTTGAATTTATCGTCTTCCATATTTTTTATGAATTTTGTAGCCAAAGCTGCAATATGCAGATGATGTGCTAACAATATGCAGGACGTGGAATAAAACAATTTCTTTGCAACAATCATACAAATTAATTATATTGCTTCTGTGTAAATTAACACTGAAAATACACACTTTGACTGAAAACAAGAAAAGTGATAACCTAATATACTGAATGTCTTATTAAATGTATGTAAATAAATTAGGGTTCTACAAATGGAATCTTGGACAATCGATCAAACGACTTTTTTCGAATAGTCGAAGTCGACTATTCGATAGACTAATAGATTTTATTAATAAATGTCGAAAATAATTGGAAAACGAGACCACTTTCAAAAACATAAATTTAACAATTCTCTTTTGCTTACTTCCAAGCTATAAATAGCTGGATATACCCAGTGTGCCTCGCCACACACAAATAATATAAATTAAAAAAACCCCTACATACATACATACAGTATTGTACGAAACCTAAGCAACTTTTTGATACTCTTATGAAAATCTTTGGTCCTTTTGAGTTCTAAACAACTTTCTGGAATAGATTAGTTACTAGTGTAGTTCGTAATGAATCCCAATCGGATTTTAAGCTATTCGACAGCTGCTATGTTTTATAAAACGGCGAGTTTCGACCCAGCGCTTCAGAATGTCGAACAGCATCTCTAAGAGACTTGAGTCAGGAGATTTTGATGGACAGTCAAAGAATTTGGGTCCCATTTTAGATCAACTTTGCCAAAGGTTTTGGTTCATTATCATGCTGAAAATGCCAATAAAGTAAGTTGTTCTGTTCAATGTACCTAATCCTATGGTTCATTTTGTTGGCCAAAAATGTCCCAGAAAGTAAAACAATCCAATTTTATTTGTATTTCAACATCAGGACTTACTCTTCTCTTCAAAAAACATGACCACAGCCTTAAATTTTTGCTCTCCATTCCTTGAAGAGGGTCCAGGAGAAGGAATGATATTATCAAAATCTGCACCTATTCTACAGAATATAAAATTTTATGTGAAATTAGATAAATATAGCCGGTTGTTTTGTTTTATTTTTAATTTTTTAATGATTTTTTATCTTGTGCTAAATTTATGTAAAGATTTTTTAAGGGGTAGATGTACTTTGGAAGAAAAATAATCTATATGCAACAAAGTAGTAAAACAAAATGTATTGTGTCGGGATCCTCGAAGGAGGAAATATTTGATGTTATATACCTAGTGTGCTAAAATCGTGGCCACCACTGTATGTATGAATTTATGTACATTAGGGTGTAACTTGTTATAATTTTCGCGAATATCAAAAATACCATAGCAGGACCTTGTAAAAAAATTGTCGTAATTTTTAGCTCATACAGAAAAATAATTAAAAAATAGTCTGGGATTTGGTTTAGTCCATTTTAGAATTTTTTGACATTTATAACACAATAAAAGTCGTTTTGCGGACCAGAAATACACTAACACAAATTTTAATTATTTTTACCACAACAAGCTCAAAATTACGGAATTTTTGATACCCAATTGAAGTATGCAAAAAAATTTTTTGAACATATTGTACTTGAATCAGGATTTTCAATCGCATGTAGGAAAAATTGTTTTTTATTTTTCTCGTATTTAGTACATTGGAACTCATCGTTTTAGAGGTATTCATCCTAAAAAGTGGTCCACGGAACACCCTAATGTACATATGAATATATTCATAGAAAATAAGTATGTTTAAAAAAAATTAAAGGAAATTGTATGTCAAAATAATAGCACTTGTGTTTAGATGTCAAAAAAAAAATTTCATAATTTGAGTAGTTCCTCTACTTCATTTAATTCACCAAATTCAGACAACTTCCTGAAGGAAGTGATAACTATGTCATAATCATGGAAAATGGGAGCTACATTATAATACTAAAAGCTTCAAAATACCATATTATCGCCATATTTTGCGGTCTTTTTGGAGGACTTCTTACATAAGATCTTCTTGTTTTCATAAAGATTTTCGGAAATTGGAATTTTTTTAGAACATTAACTTTTTCGACTTATTGACCTATACCTATTAAATTACGTACTAACTCTGTAATATGTATTGAAACTAAATTTTTGCTATTTCACTGGGGAGAAAGTACCAAAAAGAGGAAAATTTTGATTTATCGGTTACAAATTTCTGCTTAAAAATATGTATACTTAAAAAAATATATTTAGGAAATAAAAAAATCAATAAATAATAAAAGGAATTGTAAAATAATTTGAAAAGAATTATTGAAGATTTAAATCCTTCCAAATAGTAATTCATAATGCTATAGGGTAGCAATTCCCTAAATCATAAAAAAAATTCCAACAATGTCACAATCCCTACGATAGAAATATTCCAATATACCAATTTAAAAGATAGAAGCGTGATCCCCAATCTCTAAAATGATAAAAGTACAAGAACATGAGAGCCTATTAGTCAAATTCATCCTCAGTTATACAAGATAATAGAAATGAATACCCAACGTAGAAAACAATGTCACCAAAAAAGTAAGTATATAAAACCAAGTTAAACATTAAAACATTGTAATCAGAAGTAAGTACAATAATAATTACAAAATACGACAAGAATTCAAGAGAAAAGATATCTGCAAGAAAAATAAACCTATTCCATTCAGCAAATCAATGACAACACACTATCCGCAAATTAAACTCTAAGGGCGAATGTTGAGGTAAAAGATTAGCGATTAAATTAAAATTAATCCTCGAAAAATGTTTTTGAGTACTCATTTAGTTAATTTTGTTTGCAAGTTTAAGCGCCCAATGGAGGTGGCTTAAACTTAAGCACGAAATGCAAAAGTGTAAACAGCTGATTCAAAAAAATGAATACAATTTTTATAAATATAAACATTAAAATATTCTATTTATTGATTAGTATAAATTATGGACACTTCAAAATACATTTTTTGTTTTTAATTTAAGTTTTCATTAATTTTCATATTAAATTTACAATTGTCTTCTTTTTTATAAAATATGCATTGTTTTGTGACGTTAAATTTATTTTTAGATTAACTAATCTGATTTTTAATTGGCATTTGATTGCCATCTCAAAACCCCGCTCTTAATTACTATTATTATATTTATTCAAACTAATTGAGCCAATTTGTATAAAATTTCGATAATATTGAATATAAAAAACAGAATCATTAAAATCAATTAAATTTTTCTATAAAAGTAATACAAAGTTAGTATGTATTTATTTTTTGTTAGGGTAGCGAAGCACCCGGGTTATTCTAGTTATATGTATAAGTTTGTCATTCCGTTTGTAATTTCCACAATATAATTTTCCGACCCTATAAAGTAGAAGATTCCTATAGATAGCGGAGTCAATTAAGAAAGGTCCGTCTGTTTGTTTGTCTGTTTTTTTGAAGATCCCAGATCTAAATCTTCAATAATTCTGTCAGTTATGCTTTCTAGAATTTTCTTTAAAAGCAGCAAAATCTGTCATTATATAACGGAGATAACAAAACTTCGAGAAACTTAGAAAATTTCAGATACTACATATGAATTGTATTGAAGAAAAAAGTAAACATTAGGAAAAACTAATATAAACTAACATCTAATAAGGAACCAGAATAGGATTATTAACTTCACACTTTTACTAAATATACAATTTAAAGGAACATTAAAATTAAACATTTTACTCTTTTTAGATTACCGAAGAGGATAATTTGCCTAAAAGCATATGTTCTAGATGCACTGCAAGATTAAAAGTTGCTTATACATTTATTAAAACGGCACATGAATCCGAAAATAATTTAAAAATATTTTTAGCAAAAATTAACACCGAGTTTAAAGAAGTCACAGTGGGAAATAAGAGTATTAAGAATTCAGTAAATGAACAACATTTTACGGATGATGATATTTTTTCCCTTATTGATGATGAAAATCACGAAGATATTCTCACAGAAGTCCGCGAAAATGAGAAGCGCAAACAATTGCTCCAAACCGACAAAAACACAAAAAAAATCAAGATAGAATCAGAAGGAGAAAACTTAACTACTAAAGAAATCCAGAAACCGAATGAAGATGACTTTAATAGTTGCAAAAAAGATGAAACAGTTTATCGTTTAACTAAAGATATTTTACTAATACATGCTGATAATAATGAGATTGATAATGAATATGAAAACGATTCACATTTTATGGAAATTCCAACTCAGGAAGCAGTTGACTATACAGGTGATGATCATTACAATAAAGATATTTCAGATGACAATGAGTTAGATAAAGAACAAACATATACGAGCGCAAATATGTTAGAGATAAATGAAGAGTCAGAAATTCATTCTCAATCCACAGAATTAGCAAATGAAGAAGTAGAAGAAAGTCGGGATTACGAACCGATCGTTAATGGTCAAGACGAGACCATACAATATCAAAGTATATACATCGATGAAAGTTCCGTGGAAGAAATTAATCAAAAAAATGGAAATGAATATTACATAAATAATTCAAATGAAGATGAAATACATGAGGTTCACCCCGATAAAGAGGACATCAATGCACAGAATGAAACAGCTAAAAGATTTCCTAAAACTGAAACTAATGTGCATCGTTTCTATTGTGATAAATGCTGTCGCGATTTTAGCACGAAAACAAATTTAAATCGCCATATGCAATCGCATGAAGGCAACAAACCATTTTCTTGTCCCGAATGTAAAAAGAGCTTTACCCAGAAATCAACATTGAAACAACACATGTATACGCATACAGGAGAGAGACCTTATGTTTGTGAAGTTTGCAATCGCGGATTTACTCAATGTAAAAGTCTTATATTCCATATGCGCCGTCACACAGGCGAGAAACCGTTTCACTGCGAATATTGTTTAATAACTTTCCGACAGAAAGACGCTTTAAGGGTATGAATCATACAACAAAAACTACAACAATCCCAAATACAAAAATTTAATGAAAATATTTTCTCTTAGATTCACATCCTAAAACATCACGTCCTTATAGAGCAAGCCAACGACGGCAGGGAAATATTTACATGTATAATATGCCAAAAGAAATTTGACACTAAAGCTGCTTTTAAAACTCATATGAAAGTCCATACTGCAACTGCAGAGGTAGACAACGTTGTTGAATTATTGAGAGAAGAACAAGAATGGTCTGCAGTAAAAAAAACAAGAAATGTAAGCGTTGGAAGGACTGATTCGATTATACCTATTGATTCTGAATGTATTAATGCTGCGGTTGTTAATGTTTCGGCATCATCTGCGGCCGAGCCAAGTCGTGCAAAAAAATTTCAGTGCAGGACGTGTTTTAAATGTTTTGCATTAAAGTGGGTTTTTCCAATATATTCTCCTCCTAAATTTTACTTACCCATTATTATTACTATATTTTACAGAAAAAGCTTATTGAGACATATGCGCATACATTATGTAAACAACGAGGATGACGTAACTGAATGTTTCGATTGTGAGTTGCAATTTTCATCTGCAGAGTTATATCAAGAACATCTATCGGAATGCCACCAATATGCATGTTCAGCTTGTCCTGAACTTGTCTTTAAAACTATACAAGATTTGAAGATACATATGTTTGAACATGAATTGGATCAACAGGAAAACCAATAATTTGTAAATAGCTAATAATTAAATAAATATGTATGTACATTCAGGGCCAATCTTTGAAAGATTAGCGATTAAATTAAAATTAATCCTCGAAAGTTGTCTTTGGGTACGCAATTAATTAATTTTGTTTACAAGATTAAGCGCCCAATGGAGGTGGTTTAAACTTAAGCATGAAATGAAAAAGTGTAAACAGCTGATGCAAAAAAATTAATACAATTTTTATAAATATAAATATTAAATTGTTCCATTTATTGATCAGTATAAATTATGCACACTCAAAATAAATTTTTTGGTCTTAAATTTAAGTTTTCATTAATTTTCATATTAAATTTACAATTGTCCTCTTTTTTATAAAACATGTATTGTTTTGATAACAAACAGTGACATTTTCTGTTGTTTTGTATGGCAACACTGCGAAGTTTAATCTTGTACTAGGGTTTAGGGTTCTATAGTTGAAACGAAAAGTCGACTTTTCGACTTTTTGCATTTAGTTAAAAGTCGACTTTTCGACCTTTCGACTTTTTCCATTTTATGAAAAGTCGATTTTTCGACTTTTCGACCTTTTTCATTTATTTAAAAGTCGACTTTTAGACTTTTCGACTTTTAGTATTTTATAAATGGTCGACTTTTCGACCTTTCGACTTTTTCCGACTTTTCGACTTTTTCCGACTTTTTTCGACTTTTCGACTTTTTCCGACTTTTTTCGACTTTTCGACTTTTTCCGACTTTTTTCGACTTTTCGACTTTTTTCGACTTTTCGACTTTTTTCGACTTTTTCCGACTTTTTTCGACTTTTCGACTTTTTCCGACTTTTCGACTTTTCGATTTTTTACGACTTTTTGAAAATTTTCGACTTATTTCGACTTTTTTTTCGACTTTTTTCGACTATTTTTTTTACTTTTTTCGAGTTTTTCCGACTATTTTAGAGTTTTTGACCTCTTTTCCACTTTTTTAAAATTTTCGACTATTTTCGACTTTTCGATTTTTTCGACTTTTCGACTTTTTTCGACTTTTCGACTTTTTCCGACTTTTCGACTTTTTCCGACTTTTCGACTTTTTTCGACTTTTCGACTTTTTTTCGACTTTTTTCGACTTATCGACTTTTTTCGACTTTTTTCGACTTTTCGACTTTTTTCGACTTTCCGACTTTTCGACTTTTCGACCTTTTTCGACTTTTATTTACAAAGTCGACTTTTCGACTTTTTTCATAGACGATAGTCGAGTTATCGACTTTTTTGGAACAAAATAGTCGACTTCGACTTTTCGACTTTTTTCGACAAAAAGTCGATTGTTCGATTATTCGAAAGTCGATTTATAGAACCCTACTAGGGTTCTATAGTTGAAACGAAAAGTCGACTTTTCGACTTTTTTCATTTCGTTAAAAGTCGACTTTTTGAATTTTATGAAAAGTCGATTTTTCGACTTTTTGTAGTTTATGAAAAGTCGATTTTTCGACTTTTTCATTTAATTTAAAGTCGTCTTTACGACTATAAGTATTTTATAAATAGTCGACTTTTTCCGACTTTTCGACTGCTTTCGACTTTTTTTGACTATTTTTTTACTTTTTTCGAGTTTTTCCGACTATTTTAGAGTTTTTGACTTTTTTTCCACTTTTTTAAAATTTTCGAATATTTTTGACTTTTTTCTACAATTTTCGAGCTTTCGACTTTTTTTTTGACTTTTTCCGACTTTTCGACTTTTATTAACAAAGTCGTTTTTCACAGACGATAGTCGAGTTATCGACTTTTTTGGAACAAAATAGTCGACTTCGACTTTTCGACTTTTTTCGACAAAAAGTCGATTGTTCGAAAGTCGATTTATAGAACCCTAATAATAACTTTACTATTTTAAGCTGCATGGCCACACGTCAATATTTGGTCAAAACTTGTTTATGTGTTAGGCGCAATTTACATGAAGACTTTTCAGACGTCTGTTTTTTCCAATTCTCTTTTGAGAATCTTCCAAAAAATCATGAACATTTATACGGTGATTTTTTACATGCAACTATGCATGTCTTTTTTTGATGTTTAATTGTATAATCCTTTTTAATTACTTATTCGTAATAAAAACAAAATTAAATTTTTAACATAAAAACCATTTAATTTGATTTAAAAAAATTTAATAACACGCTATAGTATTTTTTTAATGCAAATTTTAATGTTTTCATGTAAAAAAAAAGACATAATTATTTTAATATCAACAGTACGAATGAGTTTAAAGAGGAATGTCAAAAACAATCATGAAAATCCCAAATCATGTTTGTTTTCTTACCCCCCATTCTTCTCTACCCCGCTCACCACCAATCATCGACAAACATGAAAACAGACGTCTGGGCAAACATGAAAAAAATCATCATGTAAATTGGGTGTTAGTAATTTATTCCAGCCTTGCGGCAAAAAATGTGATGTTGTCTCACCAAAAACACAGGGTATACAGAGGCGTCACGAGCAGCGTTGCCACTCACAATTTATTTTTCTTACCAAAGTTCCGACAAAAAACTACCAAAACGTTCCAAAAAATACCAAATTTCCTTAGGGACATTGGGATTGCTTCTGTTTAGAGTTTCATTATTTTTAAAACTAATATGTAATATCATACAATGATTTGTTCCAAAGAATCAATGGTTTACTTTTACGTATTTAGACAAAATTTCCAAATACTTTCGTACTATATAGTTTACTTTATGGATAAATCCTTCTATTATACTACGGTTAACTAATTTGCTATTTATTGATAATAAAATTATTTTCCTAAAAAGGGGCTATATGGCTGTAATAGGATCAATTGTGAACCAATCGACATAGATTTCGGTTCTTAAAAAACTGTTTCAACAGACAGACGGGCGGACATGGCTATATCGTCTTAGAATCTAATAAGAACCTAGAAAAAATATATACTTACAAACGGAATCACAAAATCAATATACCCTAATATTTTTATACCCATCAAAAAGATTTGGGTATATTAATTTTGTGATTCCGTTTGTAAGGAATCAAAAAATATACCAAATTGTATATTCATTCATGAATCTAGCTTCTTAGAAAAAAATGAATTAGTGTGGCCTCCAGTAGGTCTGTGGTTTATGTTATAGCTGAGGCATTGGTTGATGCAGGCCTAGAAGTATTCCTTCGGATTTTATGTAAAATCCTCATTTCAAATTAACTAACTTACTAACATTCATCAATCAGAAATGTTAAAATACATAGAAACTTAATATTTTCTTAGAACAAACTATAAACTTAACAAGGATAAACTTAAGATTGACGTATTAATTGAAATTCTTATTATTTTGCCATAACAAGGTCAGAAATGTTTATAAATTCATATGCATGAGATCAAAATTATCTCATCCTACCAAATTTGTATCAAAATTTAAACCTACCAACCAAACTACCAAAAGTCATTACAGAGATTTGAAACTACCAATTTTGGTCCAATTGGACCAAAGTGGCAACGCTGGTCACGAGCAAAAAACTATTTCCCTCTCTTTCGCACAAAACGATTTCATTGATTTTTTAGCTGTATTTTATATACCTCTTCTCACAAAACAATTTCAAAATCAAACAAAAGCTGATTTTAGACTTTTTTAAATGTCAAAAGTGACACCTCTGTATACTTTGTGCCAAAAACTAAATAAAAATTAATTTATGCTTCTTCTTTTTCAAGGTATGCTACATCTGCTTCAATTTCAGTTGAAAATCAAAAGTGGAGTTTCATTATTTTTAAAACTAATATGTAATATCATACAATGATTTGTTCCAAAGAATCAATTTAGACAAAATTTCCAAATACTAACACAATCAAAAAAAATCCTGTGTGTGTAAATTTGTTTGATCATTGCCATCACCCTTTACCCAGCAGTTCGACAAAGAGTCAATGCATACGAAAAAGACAGTAATTTCCACTAATAGTTAACAACCTGGATGATCGTAATTCGTATGTTTTGGGTCATTCGTCACGAATGTACCCTTTGTAATCGAGAATGAAGACAGTCGTCACTTTAGTGTCCTCTTTGTAAGCGGGAGCGGAGACAGTCGTCTCTTTACTGTCCTCAAGTAACCTAGAGATTATTCTCTTAAAAGTTGTTTTTTTGTTGTACTTCCGAAAGTAGTTATTTTATCCATCTTTTGGAGAAATGATTATTACTTTCTACTAATGTGCCACCATCTGGTTGACTCAAATTTATATCTTTCGGGTCAATCGTCACATTATTGTCCCATAGTATTCTAGAGAGTAGACACTTGAAATTTTTAAATTTTAGTTCCATTAATATCTTACCACCTCCAATTCGTATGTTTTTGGTCTTTCGTCACAACTAAACCCTTTGTAAACGAGAATGAAGATAGTCGTCACTTTAGTGTCCCCTTTGTAAGCGAGAGCGGAGGCAATCGTCTCTTTACTGTATCTTTGTAGGGTGTAGAGTGACGATTGACTTCCTCGTAGGACAAGCCCATGTTAAAATGGTTGGTCACCTGGGTAGTCAGGTGGCTAGGGGCCACCACAAGTGGTAGGTTAAGTGGTCAGTTCGGGACTGTCCCGTCGAACTGCTGGGTAACACAATATGATGTGGCAACTCATTTCCATTGCCTGTAAAAATTTAAATTAGTGGCAACGCTCTCAAATTGGTTTTAAAAAATTAAACTAATTAAGCTGACAATTGATTCAACAAAACGAATTTTTTTATAAAAAAGACGTAAAACTCCTTACATACTTAAAAATAATAGTTCGAAATTTTTTTAGAAATGAAAGATGTCTGCGTGACTTGTAAAATATTACCGGCGGCCAGCCTCCGCCGTTTTGTCCCTCTCGGCTTGTATCTCTGCCTGGTAGTTATTGTGAATTCCAATTATTAACCATCTGATTAATAACATTGTTCTATGAATTTTTGTTGCAATAATGTTTATGTTTTGAAATATTTTTTTATAAACAAATAAAAAATATTTAAAATGGATCTTAAGGTGTGTAGAATTTGTGGTGGTGTAGAACAATTGAAGAATATTTTAGATCAAGGAACAGAAATGATGGACAAATTTCTCGTATGTACAAATATCAATGTAAGTCGGAAATTATTTATTAAACGTTATAACCGATTCCCAAAGGTCATTTATAGTTAATTTTCTTAATAAGTTTCATACATTTTTAAATAAATATTGATGTTTGTATTTTTGTTTTTAATAAAGATATATTGTGGAGATTTGTTGCCGAAACTCATATGTGAACAATGTGACATAAAATTGGATCTTTCATATCGGTTAAGAAAACAAAGCGAAGATACACAAAAACGATTAAGATGGGAAATAAATAAAAAAGTTGGTGTCTTACAAGAAAATGATATGAAAAATTCATTTGATGCATCTAGTAGTGAAAGTGAGACAGATATTTCAAATTGTCGAAAAATTGATCAGTCTGTACATTGTAATAAATCATTTGAAAAAAATATAGGCGAAAATTGTACAACACTTCACGAAATAAAAGATATAAATGAACCTATTGAAAATGAAGAACAAGCTTCGAATTTGAAAAAGGAAACAGAAATAATCGGAGAAAACTGCATAATTATAGATAATGACATTATTGAATATAAAAGTTGTAACATAGATAACGATCATATTTTAGATGATCAACTTCACAACGAAGAGACTGATATATTAGTTTTTAATGTTGATGAGGATGAAGTTATAAACACAAGCGATGATATTTACAATTTAGAGGAGCCAATAAAAAACCCAGTAACTTCCGAGTACTGTATTATTGATTTATTATCTTCTTCATCTGAATCAACGGCAAGTGACCATTGTATTGATTTAGAATTCGATAATTCCGAAAATTCCCTTACATGTAATACCTGTCATGAAGTTTTTACTAAGAAAAAGGACTATAGTATACATATTAAACAACACGGGGAAGAACGATATCAATGCATTCAATGTTGTAAATTCTTTCCCACTCGTTTTCGTTTGAAACGACATGAGGAAACTCACAATGATATTGCTACCTACAATTGCCCTCATTGTAAGCGAAGTTATCGAGCTTTATATAATCTAAACCGGCACATACGTTCAGCACATTTAGAGGAAAAGGGTTTGAACTGTAATATCTGTAGTGTTAGTTTCTCCCGTGCGGATGTCTTGAAGCGTCATATGCAACTACACTCTGAGGAGAAAAACTACAGTTGTTTATTGTGTTCACGGAGGTAAGAATCCACAGCAAAACTGCAATTTTTTGTTAATAGCCGCTTATTCATAACATTTCTTTAACGGCTTTCAAATAAATGTCTTTACAGCTTTAAAACTAGGGACTATTTGTATGCTCATGATAAGGCACATCATTCTGGAAATTCTTATGTATTAAAAAAGAATAAACGAACTAAAGCAGAAAGTGCCAATCAAAATCAGTGTGGACAATGCGGCAAGCTCTTCAAGTCCTCATTTGCCTATAAAAATCATTTACTTATTCATACAAATGAGAAACCATACGAATGTGAAACTTGTAATAAAAAATTTCGAACGATCGCGGCGTTGACAACACACCAGCGTATCCACGACGATTATCGGCCATACCAATGCGACCTATGTTTAAAAAGTTTTAAACAAACTGCACATTTAAAAGAACACAAACTTCTGCACTCGGACAGTGCTCCTCAGCATGTCTGCACTATATGTCAAGCACCGTTTAATAAGAAAAGCAATTTAAAGGCACACATGCGTATACATTCAAAAGAAAAGCCATTTAAATGCGCAGACTGCTCTGCTGAATTCACATATATGTCTCTGCTCCAAAGACATGCTAGTAAAGTACACAACAGAAGCGCACACAAAGTCTATATTATAAATGAGTCCGATGAAACAATTGAAGCCCATGATATTATTAAAAGCAACAGTATGTTGGAATCTGAGCTGTATATAGATACGGTGACAGATGATGACTTTGATCCTAATGTTGCAAATATTGTGCATTTGATTGAAGATGATCACGAAATGTATAGGTCATCTTCTGAATTAGAAATTATAAACGATGAACCTGCAATTGCTGAAAAAACTGATGTCGAGACTTGTGCTTTAGAGAGCCAAACAATTTTTGATAGTGTTCAAATACTTTCAATAGATTCCATACAATCACAATCACACGAAACAGAATTCGTAAATGGTGCTGAAGACTGCGAAAATCATATAATTGAACAAAAAGTTGATCTTTTTGTGAGCGAAGAAACTAAATTAACAAGTTCCGTGTGTAATGTTAACCGATTAAAATGAGGTAAACAATAAATATAGAAAATTGGTACATATATAATTATCAAATATATACATACATATATGAATAAAGATTAAGATTAATTTAGTTATCGAGAGTTTTTAGGAGAACAAAACATTTTTTAATATTGTACAAAATTCATTCATTAAAAATTTTATATTTTGCACGTTTTTAGGCAGCACTTTTTTGGACCAAAAGTAAATATTTTTCAATAAAATTTATATTTTGAGATACATAGTATCCTGGCAAAAAGTTACATGACAAAGATGTTGTTTAATCGGAGGTGCAAGTGATGACGAAGTGATTTATGGGAAAATATATAAAATAACATTAATAATCAAAAATATTTCTAATAACACATAAATTTCATTTGATTAAATTAACAATCTCAATTAGTTTTTAAAGTTTTAAAGGAATTTTTTAACTGCGGAATAGGTTGAATTTAGGAAGGCATTTAGAATGAGTTGTATTTGCACTGTTATATATCATAAATTAGAATAATTGCTTTTAGATGCAGTTATTTGTATATTTAGTGAACATTAGAACGTTTCTCTAAATATTTGTACTGGCATCATTTAAAGCTGCTTCTTGAGGTAGATATATGTATATACAATTTCTTTTTTTAATTCTTGCAATGAATTAGTATATACTAATATATATTACATATTATGTTGTATGTTGGAAGTGATGCTTTTCTTGATATTGATGATTTCATTTCTATTTCATCGATTTGGATGAAATTTGCAACAAGGTTAGTACTGTTGGATAGTAGTCCAGACACAATTTTTTATTTTCAATATTTGGTTCTTAATTTTGCCCTACTTTTTTTCAAAATGGACGTTTTTGTTTTTTTCTCAAAGGAAAGTTAAGACCATTTCCTTTAAAAGCTTTTTTAAATACCATGCAGTGATGTTCGATAAAATAGAGCCACCATCACGTTCAAAGTTTCTCTCCACTTAAAATCTCTCTTACAAAGAATAGAGTTGGAAAAACTAACTGAAATTTTGTATTATTTTTTTTGATTTCAATGAAATTTTAAATTAAGCTATATAAAATGGTGTGACAAAAAATAGAGCCAGATTGCAAAAATATAAAAATTTAACAATATGTAGACAATTTTCAAATTGAAATCGATCGAAATAGTAAGTTTAATGCTTTTTATTATTATTTTAAAAGAATCTCATTAAAAAATTATAATTTTGAGTACAAAAGAGGGCAGAGGAAAACATTGCAGGCCATACAGCAGAAAAACGATAAAAACACTCCATGATATAGGAAAGGGCTATAGACAAATTGTTGAAATAATTGGGTGCTCCAAGAAAGTAATAGAAGATGCTGTAAAGTTTAAGCCAAAAAATATCTAGAAAAAAATAAAAACATACATATTTTTTTAATTGAAAAAATCAGACTCATGCTCCGTGTAACCTTGAAAGGGAATATAACTTAGATGTTGCCAGTTAAGTTAGTTAGTTAAGTTTATTTGAGTCTTTTAAATATTCATACATATAGAAGTTACAACAGATCTGATATAAAGAAAACTTAAAATTATAATGTTTTGTTTTAATGCAAAATATTGTTTACAGCAACAAGAAGTTTGTCACTTTATGCAAATGATTAATAATATATGTATGTATGTAGTGTAGTGCTTGCTCCCGGCACAACATAATTTGAAAAGTATAATAGAAGAATTTAAGCCAAAAAATATCTAGAAAAAAATAAAAAAATACATATTTTTTTAATTAAAAAAAATCAGACAGAAAGGGAATATAACTTAGATGTTGGCAGATTAATAGTAAGATCTCTCATGTATAAAAATAATGTAAAGGATAAAATTAGTAGAAAAGTGTTATGTGGTACTTTAAAGATCCTGAAAGAAAAAATAAAATTTTTCAAAAACATTTGAAATCTCCCCTTGAGCAGGAATCGAAATATTTTGTGGTCAGATGTAAAAAAGTCTATTCGTTTAATGCTGATATGATCCGTATAGCTGTACGTAGACGTTCCAACACTGGATTTTGTAACAATACTATGAAGATCATTGAACATGGTGGCGGATACGTAATGTTATGGGGTTATTTTTTCTTGTTTGGAACATGGTCTCTATTTCGGATTGTGGGAAGATAGGACTGTAAATATCCCATAATTATAATTAATAATGCTATACTGAATGAGAAATAACACTTTTTAAGGAGATTCCTACTATTGTGTCCTCAAAAGCGCAATTTTTTTACATGACTCCATAGTTCTTGCTCCAAAAAGAGGTGTTATTTCTTATTTTTTCTTATTTTTTCTTGATACTTTCTAGTTTAAACTTTCTGGTTTAAAATTATAGTTTTTTAATGAGATTATATTAGGATTGTAATAATAAGACTTAAACTTAGTATTTGTACCGGTTTCAATTTGAAAATTGTCTACAAATTGTTAAATTTTTATATTTTTGCAAACTGGCTCTATTTTTTGTCACACCATTTTATATAGCGTACTTTTTTAAAATTACGAATAGCGACGCGTAAATTAATGCAAAAATAATGGTATTATATTCATAACAGATCAATACAAAATTTCAGTAAGTTTTTCCAACTCTATTCTTTGTAGGAGCGATTTTAAGTGAAGAGAAACTTTGAACATGATGGTGGCTTTATTTCATCGCACATCACTGTAAGTAATGAAAATAAAATGAAAAAAAAACTCACAATTTAGAAAAGTTTGGCGCCAACACAAACAAATTCGATAAACGAATAATGTTATTTTAACGCAGGCGCTCTTTTTTGGTATTGGTTTTATGCCGCCAAAACAGCTGTTCCCTGGAAAATGCTATTGTTTTGGGTTCAAATTTGCATTATTTTGGGATATTTTCACAGCCAATACCCTGAATAACTGGGGTATTTTCTTTATAATAAAAGTGCGTGCACATTGCATTTGGCGCTTAGTTATAAACGAGAATTCTAATCCAACGGATGGGTTCGTCATTACCACGAAGAGAAACATTTTTACGCTAACAAAAAAAAAAAAAATTGTGTACATTTGAAAGCAAATTTAATTCTTATATTTTTATTTGTAAATTAAAAAATTCTGTAGTTCGAAATCACTAAGTGGTTTATTCTGAAAAGAAAATATTAAATAATATAACAATTATTTTTAAACAATAAATAACTGCTTAAAATTAAACATTTGGTTAAACATATGTTTAAGAAAATGTAAGATTTTTATGAAAGTTAAAAATATTTACAAATCTTAATTTAAAAATATACGCAAATAATTGAGTCCAATTCAATTGAAATTAAGAAGCGCCCAAAAAATAATATTACCAAAAGTATCAATACAATGTACTTACATACATATGTATGTTACTATAAATAGTGTATAAATAAAATAAAATAAAATGAATTGTTTGATAATTGCATACAAGTGCTACGTATCCTTCATTGATATCTAATGAAGTTTCTTAATTCAGTGTGCATTTAATAATAGTACTTTCATTTATTAATATGAATACATACCTATGTATATATGTATGTGTGGCTATATATTCGTGAATGTACATAAATAGTATGTATATATGTATATAAATGTGCTTCTTTTTAAAAGCGAAATATACATATAAATATGTATAAATATAATACAATATGTCATTACAGATGCCCCAAAAAATTAACTTTGTTTGAATGGGTCTTATTTCATTATTAGTGTCTTAAACTTAATTGTGTAAAATTCTAGTCCAATCGGAAATTGGGAACCCGTGCCGGAAATCTATAGAAAAGTGTAAAAATGGATAAAAAATAAGACTCCTTTTGATTTGTTTCAAAAATTTTGCCATTTAAATTATCTTCTAGAGAAACATTCGAGTGACAAATAATGTCACAATTTTTGAAGAAAACAAAAATGTCTAATTTAACACCAGTTAGTTCTAAACACTAATGAACAAAATAAGATCCGTCCAAGCAAAATCCATATTTTTGGGCCCCTCTAATGTATACATAAGTATACCTGAATATTTTCTTCTTCGATTTCTTATGATTTGTACTTCTTTTGTTCTTTCAATCAGCCATATCAACATATACTGCAAACGGAATTTTATTCTTTAATCTGGATTTCATCTTTATTTTCGTTTAAATCTGATAAATTTAAAGGTAAGTTGTGGGTTTCAATGTTCGCTAAAACTAAATCGAATTAAGACAAACTCAAGACTTATAAAAACATTCAAATTAAAAAACTAATATGTATATGTATGGGCAATTTAATGCCAAGTGACTCAACATAAAAAATCAATTTGGATGAAATTTGCACTATTGGTCAAGAACTGACGGAGTTAGAGGGGGTCAAAATTGGACTTGGACACCTATTGCTCCTAGCAAAAATTGTCCAAAGAGCTTTAGACTATTTATAACTTATAACTATTTCTTCAATCTTTCAAATAATAAAATAATAAAAAAATACTTTTTTTCAAAATGGGCCTTTCTTGCTCAAAAAAAGCTTATAGAATTTCATTTAAGGGCTTAATGGGATACTAGTGGGAATTCTATAAAAAAAAATATTTTTTTAACTGAAGAATAAGATTTTTCAATATTTGCTATGTGTACTATTTCATTTTCCCCTTTTTTTTTTTCAAAATATACGTTCTTTGGCTCAAGAGCTTTGTGGTCACTTATTGGGATGCAAGGGGCATATCTATACTTTTAACTCAACAACTTTGTTTTTTGAGCATAAAAAGACCCATTATTGAAAAAAATAAATTTAAAATAAAAAAATTTAAAAATTGAAATATTGAAGAAATAGCTATCTAAAGTCATTCAAAAAAACTCTATTTACCCAAAATGGCCAATTTTGATCTCCTCTAACTTATGCAGTTCTTGACCGATATAGCTGAAAATGTGTGTTTGGCCGACTATCCAATAGTACTAACCTTGGTGCAAATTTGATCCAAATCAATTTTTTAAGTTGGTTCACTTGACACGAAATTGCCCGTATTTCATTCAAACTTTATATTGTTCAGTTTCAGACCCCTAAAAAATTTCATATTTATTCACATATTTTTGAAATTACCACTTTAGTATTTGTATAGTGGTCACGTCTTAAGTAAATAATAATTTTTTTTCATTTCTTTAGAATTGTATTACTAGCGTATGGGTAATATTTATTAATTATAACAATTATACGTAATGTCTCATAATGTATAGTACCCAGATTGTTGGATGATTAAACATAAACTGAGTCTTTTTTGACTCTTTGTACATTGATTATTTGAAAAAAAAAAAA